CAGCCACTGTCAGTCATCTTAGCATTTCTCGTTAATTTCCACATCATTCGAAGCAAACAGTTAGTACGACACCAACCAGTCTGAGAGTCTTATGTCGGTTTTAACTCTTAGGGTTTGGTTGAGGTAGTGGTTAAGGTGAGGTAGTGGTTAGGGTTTTAAACTCTGTTACCATCATGAACTCCATCAATTTGTAATTTAATGGTCGTGTGCCTCATATAAGGAATAAAATATTTATTATTTTAAGAAATCTCAGTTGCTAACCATCTAACTTTACTAACTTTCTAATAATTACATTGTCAAAAAAAAAAAACAGTTAGTACGACTTTATTATGCATAACAATCCAGTCTCTGCGTTACAGCTGTACACCTTGTTTAATTAATTGTTCTGTCCCATGAAGGAATTAGTCACGTTGCGCTCTATACCACCCGCATATTTACTATTACCTTTTTACCAAGAGCATGGTTACGTGACACAAAATTACTGTACTCATAAACTTTTATGGCACGTTCGGGGCTAGAGGATAGGATTGGACAAGATAAAATTTAATGTATAGGATTGGATTGAATTAAATTGAATAAGATTATATTAAATTAAATATAATGTTTAGTTGATTGCTAAATAAATTTTCGTTACACATAAATATTTATATAAATAGATAAAAATAATCCTATACTATTGTAATTTAGTTGTTTAATCTATTATAATATCATTTTTTTTAGATTTAAGAATAATATATTAAAAACCAATTTTTTTTATTAGTCAAATAAATTTTTTTATTAATATAGAGTATGAGGAGTATTCTAATTTATATTTATAATACTCTTATCATCGTTATCAGAATTTCATTCACCTTTTACAAAATAAAAAATAAAATAAAGTTTCACATAGAGCTAAAAACTAACACTAATCACTAATTGAATACAGCAAATTTAGATTTTTCCTTTATCCAACCAAAGGTTTTTGTCAATACTAACTCAAAAATAGTATTTTCATTCCAAGTAAGGTTGCTAAACACAATACCATTATGCATTCCCCTGTTGTGGTTTATTGGTGACCATTGCAGCCCAACAGAGTTGTCGGTGAATTACACTTCTGATTAATGATCAAACCTTACCGAAAACAGAAACTAATCTAAGTAACTTCTAATTTCTAATCATTATCCTGTTAAAAAAAAAAAACACAATACCATTAGGAAAGTACCAAATGTCCCATGCTGTTGTAACACAGAAAGCACCCAACAACTATATTAAAAACCAATTGAGTTCAATTTGCAAGAAATTTAACAAGTTTAAGAATTGAAAAAAAAAAAAAGAGGAAGTGCGATGAATAGATTCTTGTTTGTTTCTTGGGAAAACAGTGCAAAAAATGAAAAATTACCAAATATTCAAATTATCTTTATGTAAACTGTGAATTACAACTTCCTTTTCATCCTCATCTACGCAACCCGTGACTGCCTCTTTAACAACCAAACAAATCAATTTCAATTTGGATTCAAATTGGAGTTTCAATATTAGTCCGGTGCCACCATTTTTTCCGATATAGTTTTGACTTGAAACATCTTACCTCTCCAGATTTGCTCTTTTGATGCTTTTCCATGGTCGGTTTGCCAAGATTTGTGGATTACGAGGGCTACTTTTTCTTCTTTAGCATGTCTTTCTCTTTTCTAGAATTAGATCTGTGAAGGTCATTACCGGCTTTGTATTTTCTGGCATCGTATCTTTGAATCACATAGACAACATTTTAAAGTAAGAGAGCAAGTCAATGGAGATAATAGGGGACAAGATGAAGTAGAAGGAAGAGGAAGGAGACGATGGATTCTGGCCATCAACGAGGTAGATGATTTTTAGCCGTTGACGGAGAAGATGAGTTCTAGCACCGGCACCGATGTGCCTAACAGATTTATGTCGTTGGACTAGATTGAAAAAGGGAGAGAAGAGGGGTAAAAAATGTAAAATACAATCTTATCCCACCTAATCCCATGGGGGAGGTGGGATACATTTTATTTAGTTTAGGTGAGACAGGATAAAACGTGGGATAGAGTCCATCCCGTGCTTTGGGCTCCCCAAACATGGGACACAGCTGTATAAGATAAAAATCGTATCCCATCCTGCTGTGAATCCCGGCCACCAAACGTGCTGTTAGTGTTATTTTTAAAAGTATTAATTTAAATTAAGTATTAAAAATAACTATTAATAAATGTAGTTATTAATTAATAACTAAAATATTTACTAGCACTATTATTTTAGTAGTTGGGATTGTGAAATTCGATGAGCAATAAAAAAACTTAATACATTAAAAAAATACTTAAAACTTGCATAAATATAATTAAGTGAATCATGATTCATGAATCAAATTTTTAGATTTAATGATTCTTCTCAAAACTTAAGTATATAAATGTAATTAATCGAGAATTTAACTTCCATAAACGATTTAAAAGAAAATCCCCATCCCAAAATTTCTTCATGTTAAAAAAAAGGTGAACCATGATTTATGATTGAACTCTCATGAACAACTTGAAACAAAATCCCCATCCCCCAAATTCTCTCATATTCCAAAAAAAAAGAAGAAAAAAGTGAACCATGATTCATGATCAAATGCATATGATATATGTCAATAATTAAGGAAGGTATAAATTTTTGTGCTTAAAGCTCTTATTATAATTATTATTATCAGTAAAAATTTAGTTGAATTGATATTTATTAATTTTAAATTTTAAATTTTAAATTTATGATCAAAATAAAATGTTTAATCTTTTATACTGTTAAATAATTAATTCTTTGTTGTATGGAAAAGAAAATTGCTTAATTATCTTTTTCTCATTACATAAGCATGAATGCATGTATTCGTGCATATTGGGAAAAGTTTACAAATCGTGCATATCGGGAAAAGTTTACAATTTTTAGATGGAAAATGACACACGGATATTACATGCAACATACATGACTATAGTAGTGTTTAAACTTTTTTTGAATTTTAGGATTTCTTTTTTCAAATAATTGCATCTTTTGGGGTAAATTTTGACGAGACGAACTCGAGTACTTGGCTTCTCCAACTTGAACTTGACCCATAATATCCAGCTCAAGTTTTATCAGGTTTAAAATGGAAAAGCTTAAACTTGAGCTTGAGTGCACGTAATGGAGCTCCACTTAACTCATACTAAGGCTTGAGTTCAATCACATTTCTAATAATTTAAAACAAACAATCAAAATAATTAGAGGCTTGGAAATGGCTTGTAATCTCTGCTCAGTTTTAATTTTTTAGTTTAAAATATGTAATAATTATAAAATTACCTTTTTAGACTTATTATACATTTTAATTATAATAGATATAAAATATAATTTTTAATATCAAATCAAGTATTTACAAGTAGCTTGAGAATTTGTATCTATACACAAGTACAAGCTTTTAGTAGTTAGTTTAGCCTAAATAATTTGTAAGTAACTTGTGAGTTACTCTACTATTAAATTATTAAGATTTAAAATATGGAAAAGTAGGAAGAAAAAAAATCAAAAATTCTTTAGAGAAGGACATTTTTTATTAATATTGAGATTTTTAATGGATTACATATAACAACTATTATATTGGTTTTTAGGGTAGATATTATATTATATAAATTGATATATCCTATATAAAATCTATCCATTAATATAAGAATAAAAAATATTATTTAATTTGATTATTTTAAAGACAATCAATCACAAATATAATTAATTCTCCCAACACCTTAACACTAACAACCCTATTCGCATTCATGCAAAATACATTTACACATGAGAGTTGAGACACTCATGAGATGAGGGGTTTCTTCTTCCATGAAAATAATAAAAAGTTTCTACATGTGATTTATCATCAAGGAAAGCTACTAGAAATTTACGGTGAATCACATCTTGGTTGCATGGAGTTGAATATTAGAACAAAATAATTAAGGAGGAAATGATTGAACGCTCCAATAAGATTTTAGGAGAAAAAAAATGCAAATAGGGGGAAAATAGAAATATCCTGGAAAAAATAAAAAATAAAAAGCTAATAATGAAATTTTCTAACTTTAGCTTAAAGGCATATGTTAAGATTCATTAATTCTAGTATCTATTATTAATTTTGTATAATTTTTTATATTAGATTTAATTAAATTAAAATAAAAAATTAAAAAAATAATATTTTCATTCAAAATCGTTTACAAAATTAATAATAAATACTATAATTAATAAATTTTAAAAGCACCAATTAAACAAATCTAAAAAAGAGGTTGTGGAAACAATAAAATAATAAAATAAATAAAAGATAAGCAGATATTAATTAAGGATTTGTCTCTGTAAGGTATATATTAAAAATATAACAAATATATTTTTTTAATAAATTTACGTTAAAAAAATAAAAGTTGATTTTTAATTTTTTTTAACTGTCTAATTAAATTTATTTATTTGACATCAACATTAAAATTAATGTTAATTTTTATACTTTTCTATATATATTTATAACAAAAAGTTGCCTTAGTTAGAAAGCCCCATTAATTATTATTAAAAAAATATAAAAACTGTCATTGATTTTATTATTAGTGCTACATGAATTATTTTAATTAGATAATTACTTAAATAAATATTAATTTTTATTTTTTAAAATAATTAATAAAAATATATAATAATTAGGCACAGGTTAAAAAAAATTTTAATTAATATTAATTAATGGCCCGCTAGTAGTAGTACTACTATTCTTTAAACATGATTAGGCCCGGCTCTGGCAGCCTCAAATTGCATGTGGCGTGCTCGACACATCTATTAGTTATTTTATCTGTACCATATATAGTAATTATAATTAATGAATTAATCGTAGTAATGGACGAGAAGGGAGATTCCTCTGGCACTATTAATGCAATTGTAAGCTTATCACAACGTCAACAACTAATTAATAGAATTGCTAACAGATTGTATTTATTTTGTTTATAAAAATTTCAAAGCACCTTTAAAAAAATATGCATATATAATTATATATAAATATATATGTTGGTTTCACTTTTACAAGTCAGTATTATTAATATTTTTGAAATATGTTATTTTAAATTTTTAAATAAAAATTTATTAAAATAATATAATTTTAAATTTTTTATAAATTTAGTTAATAAATATTTTTTATATTTTATCTTTTTAAGAT